CCCCAAAACCCCAAAACCCCAAAACCCCGTTGTAGCTCTAATAGACATAATTATTTTTCTTCGATTTTGCGTTTGTACATTTAAATTTTAGAAATAAGTGAAGTGATTAATTAATGATTAATCCTTTATAAGGCAATGGAGCGGAGGTACGTCTATTACCAAATTTAATATTATTCATAGATTCCTCCATTTAGCTCGAATAGTGTGGTGCATTGTGAGAATAACATAGTTCAACAATTTTTTCCGAATCAAATGATAAAGATTCCTACTTTCAGATCAGAATAGAGGCCTATTAAGAGCAGTGATGATATAATATAAGATAATACATATACCTAGAACACTTAAGCCTTCCCTTTGACATGAACAAACTAATAGTAGCAATTTTTTGTTAAAGAGCCCTCAGAGATTCAACCTCATTTTGACTATTATGAAACAGAGTCAATAAACGATAGCTAAATTGATGGTCTTTAATCCGAATCTTCCGATGATGTATCCAAAAATTTCAATCAAGATTCACTCAATAGAGAGGACGGACTATAAAACTAAATTACAAACCCAAGGTTATAGGAGGAAAGAAAAGGGGATGCAGCGGGTGAGTATTTTAACTAGGAAACTTCAAACGGTAAGAGTCGGTTCAAATGCACCTACCATGATTGTAATAAGAGCTTTTCAAGAAAAAGTAGATTAAAAGCACATCTGCATCTCCATCTTGGAACTTAGCCATTCAAATGCCCACATCCAGGATGCAATAAAGCATTCTCGGAACGACCTAATCTTGTTATTCACATTAGAATCCACACTAAAGAGAAGCCATTTAGCTGTCAGATGTGTGGAAAGACATTCACCACAAAAGGCAATATGAAAGACCATTATAGACGCCATTTCAAACAAAAGTATCTTATTTTCTTAGATAATCTATAGGCCGTATTCTTGTGAGACATGCGGAGTCACCTTCTATCGCAAGAATATCTTGAGTAAGCACATTAGTAAGTGTTACCAAGATTATCTTAATAAGCCTTCTGGGAATAATTAGGAGCTTAATATTCTTAATGATGCATCCAAAAATGTTCCATTAGATGAAAATAACAATAGTAGTATACGACTATAGTTAAGATCTAATAACTAATAGAATTAGTAAATTTAAAAGACTTCCTAAATTTTTGAATTTTAACCTACAAATAATGTGACAATTAATCCAGTACCTTAGAATATTGTTCCATAACAATATCAAGTATATCAATTTTTATTTACACATTGTTTAGGTAATCAATCAGATATATCCACAAAATTAGTAGAATTCAATGAATTCAAATATTATTTACGGCTAGTAGGTGTAATAATAACCGCAAATAATCTAAACCTTTGTACCCGTTTACATTAATCAGTAACAGATGTTCCCACTACAGGTACCGTAAAACTACAATCTTTCTTAAAATCAACACTTTGGAGTTAATTATCCGATAACCATTGTTAATAACCCTGTATCAGTAGCTCAGCCACTGTACACTTAGCATTAATCATATCTTCAGCCAGGCAACTTCACAATGTCAAACAATTACACTTAGCAAAATTTATATCGATGAAACAATCTTTCTGCCACGAAGCAAATATAAGAATGATTTCTTTCATCCTTAGTAGAATTCTTAAAAGAGTGATAGAAGATATTTTTAACTCTTGAGAATATATTATCTATATAAAACACCATCTATTCTAGCTCGATATAATATTAATTTAATACATTGTCTCGATTTATTTTGCATCGAGGGGTTTTGGGGTTTTGGGGTTTTGGGG